AAGGCCAGTTAACTCTATGGGAGGAATCAACATCTAGCACAGACTCATTTTTTAAAATCTTTTTTTCTTTCACGCAGATGGGTCCAGGGAATGAAGCTGTCCAAGTGTGAAATACTACATCTAGGTGATCATCAGTTATCCAATTGTTGCACCCCAGCCAGACCAAGGTTTCACTGTTGTGATGAACTGTGACTGATAGGATGTCAGTAGTTTTCATTATCAAAATTTAATCTATCTTTAGTCTTCGGTCATGATCAATCTGAAATCCAAGAAGCACTGTCAGACAGTTATTTGATTATTTCAAGTCCTCTAAACATAAGAACTTATAGAAAAATTTAGAGATTTGCGTGAATGATTGTGTAGTGTACAATACGTTGTACATACATTGTATGCATGTAAGTTAAACATACAAGTAGGAGCTCAAATTCAATGGTTTGGGCATTTCTCTCTTACAATTATTTTCATTTAATATCATAATTTACTGGGTTTTTTTGGTGCATTATCATGACAAACTTCCTGGTTTGAGACCTTTAATTTGATTCATTTTACTGAAATGTGATTACTGGTTTATACATACATGTACTACATGTAGTTGCAACATTCCATTATTTGGCAAACATCTACATCTATGTTTTAGCAGAAATTTTGGCAATGTGCCTAAGTATGTGTCAGTTATACCAGTAATGGAACTCTGACTTGTAGAAATCCCATATTTGTGCACCAGGCATCAAGTTGTAATGTTACTTATTAAGTTTGTATATTCTGAACTAAGAAACATTGTTAGGAATTTACTGTAACAGTTGCAAGTTTCTTCAAATTTGTGTATGCTTGACTGCCATTAAAGAACTTGCACATAGTATGTATGTGCACCCAGAGATGAAAATGTTGGACTCATTGTCTACTAGCCTTTACTACATTTAATTTATTATAGTGTTTAAATACAGAACAGAATAATTGAGATTTTGTTTAAAATGCCCAAAGCCCCCCCCCCCCTCTCCAGCTTTCAGGTACTTTCTTGAGAAAAGCTCGAAATTCCAATATCCAGTTGCATCGTTTGTGTGGAAGCTCCTTGTTTTGACGTAGCGCCTATGAAATCATTTCAGACAGAAGAATATTTCCTGCCTAAGATAATACATGTATGTACATTCAATGTTCTGGTTTGCTACCTTTCATTATAGATCAAAAATCATCAAGACAGTGTTTTGAAAATAACAATAATTCAAACAGGGCAGTCTTTCAACAAATGGCAATATCTTGGACAGACATACAGAAACTTGAATACAAACATCACAATTAATATGATAGCAATTTGTTTCTACATGTATATAGCAGATAAGGCCACACCAATTGAGCAACAGGGCGAAAAAAAAAAAAAAACAGGCCAAGGCACCCCATGGTAGCCAGAAATGTTACAATATGAGCCATGAAGTCAACATACCAGGCTGCTTTATAATAAAAACAATAGATGTTGAACTTTTAATTAAAAAAATTGCATTGTTACATTAAAAAACTTTATTAACTACATGTAGGATTCTTCAACCGTTGGGGCCAAAATATGTCTTTCATTGAGCAATTTGCAGTTGATTTAGAACAATTTTTTTTTTCAAATCGGAAAAAAAATGGACAGGGTGAATCCGAGAAACAACAAATTAAATTGGTGTGGCCTAAGGTGTCAGTCTTTTGCTCAAATGAAAGACAAATTTACAAATGGAAAACAGCCACTACATAAAGTACCAGTATCTACTATGTGAAAATACTAAGTAAACATTAATTCTATAATACATGTACATGTATTTCAGTGGATCATCAGCAGGGTACATCTTTATTACTTTTTACTCCCCCCACACACACTAAATTAACTGACATGGGCATGTCTGAAATATTGGATGCCAAATACCATCTAGCCTGGATGCCAGACCCAAAGCACACTGGACACAAAATATCTCAGTGTGCAAGGGTCTGGTAGGGTCTCTTAGGAAAGGCTCTCGAGGAGGAGAAGCTGTGATTGATGACCCCTCACACCACAGGTAGCCTGTTACATGGCACCACCATTGGTCAGCAGGAGACAATCTTGGGATCAACAGTTAATCATTAACCAGTCAATTTTCTAAATGTTTTTGGAGTTTATTTTCCAAAATAACAGCAGAACTTAGTCTAATAGTAGAAGTAGTGTACAGCCCAGGCTTTGCTGTTTGTTTAGGTAACAGTCCTCTGACACACCAGGACAAAATAACCTTATCTACAGTTTAATCTCATCTGCTGGTGGCCATTCAAAGATACAGCTGGGAGTTTTTAACCAATCATAGCAGAGGTGTAAAATTGCTTCCTGCTGTTCCACCAATGGGGCCTTACGCTCAGATACTGAGCGTTCGAATGGCAGGTCTATCTGGCCCTACCAGACCCAGGCTCACTGAGATATTTTGTGTCCAGTGTGCTTTGGGTCTGGCATCCAGGCTAAATACCATCGGACATAATGCATGTTTCTATCAGAAATTATGAGACCTGAAGAAATGGGACTGGAACAATTAAATCAAGACAATGCCTTGAAGAATAGACCTACAGGCCAATAGTTATCACGCTTATGCCACACCAACTTAATTTTATGGATGACATATCTGCTCGCGCATTGATTTTCGCCTGTTCTAAAAAAAAAAATCACGTCTAACCTGGCTCTAGGCCTGGGTACTCCATGGTCAGCGACAATACGGAACCGGTGGTAACTCTGGAGGATGGCACCCAAGCTACCAAAGCTCCATGACTCAAGATCTCAATACATACAATGTCTATCTATGGCAATCACTCGTGATCTTTATTTGCAATCGGATACAGATCATGTACAGATACATAGTCATGCACAAATACAGATTCATGTAACAGATATACAGAATACAGACTTTCCGAGTAGGATGACCGTGTCAGTCCCTACACCTGAGTGAGGGTTACAGTTGACACGGTAGCCTTCGCGTGGATTTGTTTAAGGTGGATAACAGGTTGCGAATCTGAGACCCACACACTTGGGCATCCGTCTTCTCCAGCGGCACCATATCAAGGGAGACATGCTGGTTCCGGTTGGGATGCTTGCAGCGAGCTGCCGGGTGACTTGGTTACGCTCAAGTTCCGCCTTGACTACGCCAGCCCGCCTGGCGCTGCTCTCGTCCGCCAGCTGAAGCCAACTGCCGTTGGAGACTAGACCCTCTGGTTGAGGGGGGATACGTGTAAAGTGCCTTTCCCAAGGGCACAACGTCGGTGCGCATGTTCGGACATGCCCCTGTGCTCCGACCCGGAATCGAACCCGGGGCTCCTTGCTTGAGCGCCGAACGCGCTGTCCACTACGCCACACGACGCCACATACAATGTACGTACGTGATGATTCATCATCATCAGGTCGGGCGAATTGCCCGGACCAAGTCCACTCTTTCTCGCCATGCCGCTCTGTCCGCCATTAACTGCCCTAGGTGTTCGGCCCTTACCCTAGCATCTTCAGCAAGTTGGTGGATGAAGGTATGTACAATGGGGTCGCCCTGCGCTGGAGTGTCCATGGGTTGGTGCCCAGAGTAACAGCTCACTGGCGAGCTCGTCTTTGTGTCTGTAGCAGTGTCCAGCAGTGTCCAGTGATGATTCATAAATTCCGCAAAAAGCCGGCTTGTCGTATACATTGCTATGTACTGCCGCAAATTCATAATACCAGCTTTGTATTCCTGTACATGTGGTTTAGTAGCATTTTTTTTTTATTGGCCTGAATTTTTTTTTATTCATCCGCGCGCACTTCAAAGGATGTCATCCGTAAAATTACAAAAAAATGTAGGTCGGTGTGGCCTTATGAGTAGGAAAATAAGAGTGTGACACCCTGTTAAACACATTTTTTTACTTGACGACTGTAAAGAGATGTGCATACATGTACATGTATCATCAAGTACACAGAGTGAACTGTTTATTAACACTTCTTAAACAATACATTAATTTCTGGTGAGGGCAGATGCTGTCACTATGTCATAGCACCATCACTATGTAATAGCAACATGTCCTGCTGTATGTTTCTGTGGTAACACGCCACATGTACAACTTTTTGGAGTCTCTGGGCAACTAAATACATGTAGGAGCTTATATCACTTCCTTTGGGGCAGAAGCACACAACAGACATGATTTGGTGTTGGCTGTCCAAAATGTAACAAAACTTTATATCTTCTCAAAGTTGTGACACAAGCTGTCCTTGTCCATAGGGTAAGCTAGTCTGCATATTTTCAGTTAGTGAATAACATTTGAGGGGCTTGTGCAGGCTTTCAATGAAAGTATGTCTGACCAGTGTTTCTTACATGACTGTATACACAGGGAGAATACAGATATCTACATAAAGGGTGACAGAAGGGTGCTCTCTACACCTGAAGTGTTACGTGTACAGTGAATATACTTACATTTGTAGGCACTCAAAACAAAGTCTGCTTTTTAAATTCTGAATATCGTTTAATTTTCATTCTGATGTTTTCAATATGGTAATAAAACGATGTGAAAGATACTGAAAGCATAGAAAGCACATGTACATGTATAGGGTAATATGTAATGTCTATGACAAATATAGGGCCTACTAGAACCCACATATAAGTGACAATGTCCCTCTAAAGCAACTAAGCTTCAATAGTAGACAGTTTTAACTTTATGTCAACCGTTTTGCTTTTTTGTACAGTGAGTCGACGACTTTCCCCATACTCTGAACAGTGTCTAAAGCTGCCTCGTAAGTCTTATCCACCGGAGGTTCATCAAATACAATCAGCACACCTTCTCCTTGGTCTAGGATACCTGCGCATGCGAAGGGAAAAAAGGCTGAAGTTTAACAGAAATCATCCCACTGTTGAAGTGTCTCAACACTACCAGTAAATACAAAACCATGTAACAGTGATGCCAGGAACAGAAGCATGTTGGCATAACATACTGTGCCTAATACTCTCCAAGCAGAGGTTTGGGTTTGGGGTATTTGTCTTCGTCAGAAGGACTATGAAATTGTCTCGCCGGAGTGTGGGGAACTGCGGATTTTGCGATATAACTCTGGAAGGCATGATTCGACGTCCATGATTTTTGGCAGGCAGATTACCGCTGTTAAGGCCGAAGTCAAGTACAAGTTTTGGCTTCGTGGGGGGTCCGTGCGTCACGTTAGTGCACCTTTTGTGTTTGTGGCTTGTTAGCAAGATAACTCAAGTATTTGTAAAATGTTGATTATAATTCTTGGTGTGGTGCTTACTATTGTCGGGACCAAGGTTAAGTTCGTTACTGAGCTTCGTGGGGGGTTTCGTTGTGACTACAGGGGGCATTTTGTTAATTTTTCTTGTGAGCAGGATAACTTTTGTATGTGTGGATGGAAGTTAATGAAATTTGATAGGCATATTACTGTCGTGGTCTCCAAGATTGAGTTCAAAGATGAGAGTCGTGGAGGTCGTTATGTCCCCGTAATAGGACCTTTTGTGTTTAGAAATCCCCCACCTACATCTGCTTGGAGACAGCCGACAGCTGGATATAGCGGGGAACCCCATAATGGGATGGGATCAAATGACGTTACATTGAGGGATTGTACTATAACTTCAGCAGGGGGAGGATAGGTTGGACATATGTCAGGTTATTTTCTACGGCCACACCAAGTAATTGCTATGGATGACGTCCACTGGAGACCTTAAATCTAATTACCTTAATAAAAACACGAAGGGCCGAAAAACGAGATGCCTAGATTTGGAATATACTAACTGTAGAAGTACAAATGTTAGGACACAAAGAACACAAGTCTTCTATTTGTCATAAAGACAAATTAACAAAACAGCAGTAGTCACCCTGTTCTGATTCTTTCCTTTATAACATCTTCTCTTATTATATTTTGCGGCGCTGTCGTGACACTTTCAACACAGTAAGAATTTCTTGAACGTTTTTTTTCCCAGTAACAGTCCAAACTCAAATAACGTAGGGGGGGGAGGGCTAACACGGGTGACGACGCATCTGTATAATCTGCGGCAAACCGTTTCAGGGTGTTCTGTACCATAAAAATAGTACAGAGATTCTTTTGTTCTTTAGACCAAATTGATTATTAAAAAGATTGAAGAATACGCATGTTAATTTCTCTAGAACGATGTACCTCTGACGAAGACATGAGATCTCCGACCTCTAGTTTTGGCATGTTTTTAGGCTTTTTTATTGGGGTTTCTCTTTTGCACTGAATTTTGTTTTTTCACCCAACCCAACCTCTGCCGGCACTCACCCCGGGGCGAGGCAAACCTTTCAAGAAACGTGACAGTGCTCCTCCCCGGGAACCATTAAATTATCATTAGGGATATCCATTTTATTATCACACATCCAGCCAGTCAGTAAGGCATTCATTCGGCCACACGCCTCCTGCTGATTGTGCCTATTCATGTGCCTGGTTCACACCTCCTTGCAGAATGACTGTAATGTGTTGAAGTGATTAGGTTTATAGCACATTGATGCTTTCGGCAGAGGTTGGGTTGGGTGAAAAAAATTTCAGTGCAATAGAGAAACCCCGGAAAAAAAAAGCCTAAAAACACGCGAAACATAACCCCAAACCCAAACCTCTACTTGGAGAGTACTCAAGTTACTGTGCCTGTGTGAATCCCCAATTTTTCATGGTTTTTGTTGACAATGCCAAAGTCCTATATTCAATACATGTACATTACTTCTTGCTTTGCACAGGTGCAGTATGTTCTGCCAATCAATGTCCTGGCCATATTAGATCTCACAGCATGAGTCAAGGCCTGACATGCAATAAAAAATTGTAGACTTCTATCAATACCAGCAGCTTGTAACTTACCATGAAACTTCTTGTCCAGAATCATCTGAGACAATTTCTTCTCCACCACATGTAGAGGCAGTTTGATGATGTTTGCTACATGTTCAATCTGTAAAACAGTCAGTCAGTCAGCATTTCTGGGGAAAACTTGGTATAGAAGGATGTTCATTTCTTAGGAATGTACTTAATATCCAATAAGGATGATTAATTAGTGCTGCTTTCGGTTGTGGTTGAGTTCTAATCTTTTGAAACTAAAACAGACTGATGGAACATCTTCCAAGTTGTAATTTTACTTAGAACATTGGTCAAAAACAGTTCTAGCAAATAAAGATAGATGAATATCAAGATCTGGTTTCAACCTTTAAAATAAGCATATCCTGCTTGAACGGGAGGTTTAGCAAAGATATTAAAGAATTAATTTTCGTAAACGTCGCTATGTACCACCGCAATTTCACAATACCAGCTTTGTATTCCTGTGGTTCGGCAGCATTTTTATTTTTGGATGGAATTTTTTTATTCCCCGCGCGCACTAGTTTGAGCGTCTTCTTAGGATGTCATATACAGAATTAAGTCGGTGTGGCCTAAACAAACAAACATGCTAAACACTTGTGAAAAGCTGTCCTCTCCTGGTTGAAAACTCAAGTTATGAGAACTACACTGATATTCCTTCAGAACAACTTTTCTTGTGCAGTAAAGAGAACAGTACCTGTACTCTGGAGAAAGGTTCAATAATCCGGCACAGGTTCTGTTCCAGCAGGTTGTTGTACAGATCATCAAGGTGAGACTGGATGATGGGGTCATCCTTCAGCTCTTCTGAATACTCCACAAGGGTCTACAACAAGGAAATAATGAAACAACAGAAGTTACAAAACGTTGAAATATGTCATGGAGGCATGAGATATCTGAACTCTTGCGATGGACATATTCAAGTTTTCATTAATTTTTGTGATCAGACAAAATTTTTTCCTGATTTTATATTTCAGTTTTGTTGTTACACGTGTGCTCCATAATAATATGTGTGTGTTTTTTCTCCGTAGAATACGCAACAATTATTCTAAAAACCAAATATGAAGTCCATAAGCTCAAGGCTTGTTATTTTGGAAGGATTTGTTAGAATTTGGGTACATGGTTGGATATTGAGGTCCTGAACATGTATAAAAAAATTACAGATTTCTTCTTCTTTTCTGCTTTCACTTTGGAGACAATGGCACATCTTTTCTAGTACCAGAGTTCTAGCTAGGATTTAATTTTAGCATAGTGGTACTGGCCACATGTCAAGGGAGGGACTGAGAGTGACTGAGAGGGGGGATGGGGCGGAACTTTAAAAAAATTGAGCTAAAAAAGGGGCCATTTGAGGGATACCCAAAGGGAAAAAATGTTATTTCTAAGGTATGTACAATATGTATCCTTGATTTTGTAATTTTTCACATTTGATCTGGCATTCTTGAACAAAGAAATACAGTCACAATTGTCCCTGTGCTGTATTGAAAATTTAGCGTAGGGGGTCAAAATTATAGCGTAGTGGAGGAAATTTAGCGTAGGGGGCCCCTACGCTACTTTGCACTAGCTAGAACCCTGAGTACTTAGTTGTGAAGCCTTTTACTTCGATCCTGTACTGGCTGTAGCTCACCTTCTTGAACTCTGATATGGACCTATTGTGGTAGGCTGTTGCTAGAGTCTTCATACACTGGATGTTGGGCCCAGCATACCTCAGGGCCAACTTTCCACTGATGATAGACTGGACATCATCTGGGCTGGAGTTAACAAGGAGAGAGAGGCACAGAAATGTCAGTAGTGTTAGAACACAGACATTGACTATTCAACCATATAGAGAGTTGAGTTATTTACACCATTTCAAGGTTGAATGTGATATTTCGCTGACACAGTCTGTACAATAGTTTATCTTATCTAGAGTATGGTCTTCTATCCAATGTCTAAAGATAGACATTGGAGATAACATTAAATCATACAAATAGTGATATTCTTTTACATTCAATGAAGCAGAAAATTTAATTGGACACAGATACTGAAGAACTGTAGTAGCCTATGATACAGTTGAGGGAATTATACATGTGGTTGGTTTTATATTTGCGGGAATTCAATGCAATTTCAATGTTGATCACATACCAGATCTGTGTAGAACCACTTTCTTGCAATATTCAATTTTTTCAATAACCAAAGGGAAAGGAGCGCCATACTAAAATGTTTTAACCTGACCCTCCCTGGCCTTTCCCTAATAAATATCCTAAAGCTCTTCGCTCTATCACATTCTTACCACACCCTAGGACAGCCTCCCTACCTGTTCAGCATGATCTTGCACAGTAACATGTACTTCAGCCCTGACACAGCCTTGGGGCTGTCTACTGAGTCAAACCCTTCAAACGCCTCGTAGAAGTAGGAGTAGGCAGTCTTGAAGTCCTTCTCTTCTGCATGAAGTATCCCTGAAAGTCATTGCAAGATGCCATTGTGAGTTAAATTGTACCACATTGTGAAGTTAACAACTGACATTGGAACTCGATATGGAAGTGTTTTGGATTCTGTACATGTAGGCATGATCTGAATCTGAGTGTTACTAACTAGTGTTAGGATCGTTAGGGCATACAGGTTGGCCCAGAACCCATACATTTAGGTCCTGGGTTCAAATCCACCAACATGCTCTGTTCCTGATCTTGTGCCCTTGGGAAAGGCACCTTTTACTACTTTCCTCACTTCATTCAGGTGGAAATGAGTACCTACATGTAGCTTCAGTTAGAGGTGTCCCTCAGATAGGATGTTAAATGAAGGTCCCATGTTTGGCGTCTGTGTGGTGTACTGGATAGAGCATCCGACTGTCAAGCAAGGGGACCCAGGTTCAATCCCCAGGGTTGGACCCAGACATGTCCGGACATGCACCCAGACGTTGTGCCCCTGGGAAAGGCACTTAACACGTATTTCTCCCCTCAGTTAGAGGATTCCTGGGCCCTACTAGGGTTTGGTAGGCGTTAGGAAGGTCATCCAGCCGTAAAAATCTTGCTTTAAAAAAAAAAGACTTGCCTTTCATGCAAGTACGTCTAACCCCCGTTTCGGGGAAAAATGACATTAAAATTCACTCACTCACTTGGATTTAAAAAATGTTTTGGGAGAGCTACACCCCACACAAGTTAAAGAACCCACCGCACCTTTCAAAAAAGAGTTAGGGACATGCTCCGGTGTGGGATGGCACTACTACCTGAAAGTTGGTGATTCACTACAGAAGAATAGTGTGAAATGTACACTAATGGAGATCCTAGTAAAACCAACCCACCAGACTGCAGGTCGAGCTGTGCCTGTAGTTTAGGAGGACAGTAGATGGCGTTGGCAGTAGTTCTGGCGGAGGTGAGGGCAGCGCGGGCCTTGGGAATGTTCTGCAGGGCGTGGTAAGTCTTACTCTCCAGCAGCTGTACCTCCACCAGCAGGGCCTTATCATCCATCTTCTTCAGCTCACGTAACAACTGGGAACCTGGAACATGAACCTAGTTAGTCATTTACATCATGATTTATTATAAGGCCATACCAATTTAATTTGTTGCTTCTTGGATCACCCTGTCCATTTTTCTCTGATTTGCAAAAAAAAATTTTTGGTTCTAAATCAACTGCAAAATGCTCCATGAAAGACATATTTTGGCCCAAACGGTTGACAAAAAAGTCCCTTTCTTCCTAGATCTTAAAGTTTTTCAATGTAACAATGCAATTTTGTTTCATGAAAAGTTCAAAATCTATTGTTTTAATCATAAACCAGCCCGGTATGTTCACTTCAGGGCTTATATTAGTAACATTTCCGTCTATCATGCCCTGGCCTGTTTTTTTTTTTAATTTGCCCTGTCGCTTCATATTTCTGAAAAAATTCGAGAAACAACTTACAAATTAAATTGTTGTGGCCTAAGGCTTAGGAAAAAGAATTTTGTTTCCTGTTTCCTGGCCGACCCTAAAAAAACCTGCCGTCCCTAGACCTTTTTTGGGGGTGGGCGTCTGCATTTTTTTCGAGCTGACCAACCTTTTCTAGCTCCTTGATCTGACACCTGAGTGAAATTTGCTGGTAAAATTTGTCTGGTACAGGTTATTTTCAATGTCACCTGCATCAGTGCCATCATGCAGAAAAAAGTATTTCAAGCCATGAAATGTAAGTTTCGACTATTGAAATAATTCCACCTAGCAGAAACAGAGTCAATACAGTGTTAACATTACAATGAAAGTATAACTTACCCAGTGCGAGAGCCTCCTCATATTTCTTAGTGTCAAAGTACAGGGCAATTAACCTGGCCTGTAAAACACAAGTCAATACACAAGTCAGCAATGCAGCAATGTTCTTCATATTGTATTTCCTTTTTTTTCAGATTAATACTTTAAAGTCACAGGTACTAACTGGGACCTGTACTGTAACACGATCAGGTGTAGGGATGTGTACCTAAACGTTGCATTAGGTACAGGTACAAAGGATAAGGTACAGGTCCGGACCTGAACCTGTACTTAAACAATTTGACCAATTAACATGCTCTTCTGAACTCCTTCAACAACAAGAAAAACATTAATGAACTTGAAAGTTATTAGTAGTTTTTGTTTATGTTCTGGACCTGATCTGGCAACAGAACATGTCCTTACCTCCAACGCCTGCCTGAGAAATGTGCGTTTCTCCTGCTTCGCCCACTCTATGCATTCTATACACAACTGCACCTGGGGTGGGGGAAACAGGTAAAAAAGTACATCATTAATTACACGACGAACACAAACACTTCACTTTCTATTCTCCAGAACACACTTCTTACTTTAATCCTACAAATTTTTTTTTTTGGGGGGGGGGTAGTTTCTGCCTTTTTTAGCAGTTTTGGAAGTCAGAAACACACTCCAGAGGAAAAAGCAAAGCCACACACGTTACTTTCATGGGTAATATCGCTATAATGGTGCCACGGTGCCTATAAGTTGACAGGTCTTGTGGTGGGCATGTGCTAGTGGCAGTAAGGGAATTTTTCCACAATTTGTTCGCAAACACACTAACTCAAAAACCTTTTTCTCTACATTGTGGGCTATGATTCAGGAAGTGATCTGGCGTTGTTTCTAACCTTGTTTACATTTTCTTTGTAGCGCTGTGGCAATTTCTATGAACATAAGGCCACACAGTCTTGATTTTATGGATGACATCCGTGCGCACATTTATTTTCGCCTCTTCTCAAAAAAAAAAAGATCATGTCCTCCGAGGCTCTGGCCTGGCTCTAGGCCTGGGTAGTCCATGGTACATGGTGATTCCGGAGGATGGCACCCAGGCTACCGAAGCTCTATGACACAAGTAATATACGTACAGTGCCGATTCATAAATGCCGCAAAAAGCCAGCATGTGCCGGCTTCTCATAAACGTCGCTTACGCCGCTATGCACTACCGCAAATTCACAATACTCCTGTGGTTTAGTAGCATTTTTATTTTGGGCCGGAATTTTTTTTATTCACCCGCGTGCACTAGTTTGGGAGCACGTCGGCAGAACGTACTGCGCCTGCGCAGAATCCCGTATTTTTTCGTTTTTCTTTGGGTTTTTGGTCAACGTTGCATCAGAATTTTGCCTGTTGCAGAGGATATTCTTTCCGACACAACATTTGGAAACTACTGTCGAAATGCCAACCTTATATGAGCGAATACAACCTTATACAGCCTTCTCAAAAAAATTTAGAGTAGGTGGCTGATAAGAAAAAGTAGCAGGCGAGCCACGAAGTGGCTCGAAGCGAGCCGCACAGCGGCTCGCAGGGGGAGGGTACGGGAGGGGGGTAGCCCCCCTCCCGGTTGGGGGGGTCCGGGGGCCTCCCCCGGAGGAAATCGGTAAAAATTAGACCCCTAAACATCGTTTTTGGTACATTCTGAGCAGCTTTATGGCAATCTTGTGGCTCCAAAATTTACTGTTCGTGCACAAATAATTCCGAAAAAGGCTGTATTAAAA